TGTTTTACATTTTATTAGTCCAAAATAATCCAGACCACAGCTGTTGTCAGGCCATTGTTTGTCATTGACATTTCCACCCCATTTTCTGTCAGTTTATACCCTTGGCTTACACACCTGGCTCACTACAGGACCTGCTGGAGAGTGGGACTGCAAGCTGCCTGACTGACGCAGAGCCTTATGAAAAGGGTAGCAAGTGACCACCCACACATATCAGAGATTGCTAACCGATCTTCATGGCAGGGGAGAGCAAAGCTGTCACCGGCTCAGGAAAGAAGGTAGGTGTATGTGGGGGGGCTGGGGAAACTAAACTTTTTCACACCTCTACACAGGGTGGGTTGGGCTAAATACCAAGAAGCATTTGCTTGGTCATCACAAGAAGGATAATGCTAAACTACTGTACATCAATCCTACTTGCAGTACTGATTTTTACAATGTTACAATGCGTTCTCTCACTATTGCTAACCAGGGTGTCTACACATATACACTGAACAAACAACTGAAGTTGCATGCATCCTCTGGCCACCTGAACAACTTACTCCTCTGAAGTCTGATGATGCTAAATAAGACTAATGACAGAGAAGTTTTCTGAATGCTTTATTTAATGACTCAGCACTTTATCAAGGTCAAGCAGAAAGGCCGTAAAGAGGAAATTGTTATAAAATGGTATGAATGATAAAAAACACTGAGGAACAGTTAGTTTTTAATGTTTGAAGTGCCAACTTTTCAAATTAAGACAACAAGATTAGGCAAACAGACAAACAGAAAACAGTAGTTCCACCTTAAAAGGGACACACCTACAAACTGGAGAAGTCAGCCTTCCCATCATGCCTAGTTTTCTTTGTTTTTCCTCTACATTACTCTAGAGCACTATAAAGGTTCTGCAGCTAGTGCTCACATGGGTAAAAGAGGTGCAGGGACCTACTGGCTACAGGCCAGTTCTCATTTTCGCACTCAACTCAGTGCTGTGCTGTACTACCAGCATATATCCCACCCAGAGTTCTGCCAGGATCACACTCTACTGCAAAAACTACACACAACCCCCATCAACTGCCTGCTAAGGACCTTTTCTTTAAACATAGTTCACAGACCAGCTCACCGACTGCAACAAATTTTGTGCCATGTTTGGACTTTGAATCTTGGTTCAGTTATTCAGTTATAAAAAGTGATGTCAGCATTTGGTTTATTTTCAAAAAACATAATGTTTGGATAACTATATATACACATAAACACATATAAAAAGCTTTATTTATGCCACCTTGTCTGACAAACACATTTTTCTAACATTTGTGACACGGCAGAACCTCACCAATAAAAAAACAACATCAAATAATGCTCCAAAGTACCCTCACAGCATGCAAGGTCAGTTTTCACTGTTTATGTATGTTACACATTCTGCTTCACTTACCTGTAAAAGGCAGGAATACAAACTGTCCAATATGGCCTGAACAGCTGCTTTGATTCCTGGGCATTGCAGGATTGCCTTATGTTCAAAGAGAATATACTACATCGGCACTCTCAGGGTACTCTCAGTCGACACTGTGATCCTAATGTGAGATCTCAAGGGAAAGACGAGGATAACTAGAGGGGTGTGACTGCAAATAGCAGCCTCCTGTGGCCTTTACTACGAAGCAGGATTACTTGCTTATCGGGGTAACTTTTGGGATTTAAGGTAGTCTGGGCAAAATGTAAGTGAATGAATATGAAGTCCATTTAAACTGTGGTACATTAAATCCGACAAGTTACCCCAATAAGCCAGTAACCTCTCTTAGTATTACAGGCCACTGGACTGTCAAATAAATAAATAACCATGCTCAAATGCAAGGAAGTTCATATGTATACAAGGTAGTCTCATGCGAAATTTCTTTCGCCTGTGACGTATTGCTCAGCTGTTAGGCTGATGATGCAATCGAGATGATGCAGTTTCAAGGAACCCCATAAGTTGCAAGTTCACCCTTACTGCGGCAGTAAGTACACATCAATGAAATATGTTTGAAAATGTCTTTTAAAAAGTATTTTGATTAATTATTATGAAGAATTTGCATTTAGCTTGGCAGTTTGTTAATTTATTAAAACCCTAGGCCAAAGGCAAATGACTGACTTTGTACATCTGGCCTGAAAACATCCAACCATTATTGTCCAAGGCATTCTCTCTAAATATGTTTATTTCCTTTTTAGTACTTGACATCCTTATATGTGCATTATGCTGCAACCATTCATGACTGTTACTGCATCGAGCTGTTATATTAAGGTAAACATAACCTGGATGGCTCTAATTTATAGTACACTAACTACAGCAAAGCATTTTAAGATTAATAGAAAAATTAATGACAGTCAGGTAAAGCAGGATAACAAAGCCAGTAAAAGTTGTTTTGTTTTCTTTCTTTTTGTAGTGTAATCCATTCTGATATCCAGACTAACCACATCACTCATTCTTTGTATATAGCTTTGCAGTCCATGATAAAGTAGTAACAGGTATTAACCAAGATAATGGGTCCAGTGAACATATTGTGCAATTTGTACAGAAGTAGATTCTTGCATGAGGCAGCTGGGGAATGAACTCACAATGCATAATAAATACCATTTTGCAGATTCTTGAATTCACAATATCTCTGTTACGGCACGTTACATCTTAAGACCTTGTTACTTTGGAATCTCATTTTCCTAAACTAGGCCTAAAAAAAGTAATTTCCTTAAAATTAATGTTCTCTGCACCTCATTTGTGTACTTCCAATGAGGTTTATTTAATCTTACTTTTATATTGCTTTTTTCCACCCACTCCACCATTTAGGGGCAAAAGGGAAAACATAGTTATGGATTTATCATTAAAATGAGTAATTTCTTGTGTGGGGGGAGATGTCTGTAAATATGTCCCTTGATTACTAAATGGATCTGAGTGATGATGTATGAAGTAATTAGAAAACAGCGTGGAATAAATTCCAGTACTGGCATAAACTAGAATGGCCATATATTATGTCGGCTGCCTGGAGGTAAGAACAGAGCTTTGTCAAATCTGCATTGCAATTATGTAATGGGTCTTAATTGGAGCACCATCACAGATGAGTTGTGAATCAAATATTGCAATAATCTATGGTTTTATTTCTAAATGAATACATTAGCTGAGTGTTTACTCTGTTCTTTTGCATTTTAAAATATTCAGTAGAATATCAGCCAACTATTTGTATAAGCCAATACAGCAACAATCGGCCATTGGCACATAGTTAACAATGAGCCTATATTTACCTCCAATATTTTCCTTTAAAATGGTGACCTATATCGCTTTGCTCACGTACTAAACAGAAAAATGTCAGCTGTGTGGAATTATTTTAACATTAGTGAAAACAACGTAAAAAATGGATTTTGCAAAAATTGCTCTGCTAAAATTTCATGAGGAGGATCTACTAATAAACATAGACACAACAAATTTGATTGTTCACCTTAAGGCTAGGCAGTGAAGAGTATGAAGAGTTTCTGAAAAACAAATCTGTTCCACTGAAAGAAGGCTGCAGTACTGCCAAATAAGTTATGCAAGCATTTGATTGCAAAAGAATATTCAGTGCAGACAGCGCAGAATCAAAATGTATTGCGCTGCTTATCACACTAGATGATCAGCTCTTCTCTGTTATAAATATATAAAATGTAGAGGTGGGCGATATGGCCTAAAAAATCTCCAATTAATAATAATCCGATTTTCGATTTTAATCGCTTTCCCCCTCCGCTACTCAAAATCAAACTACAGATGACAAATAAATGGCTCAAAACAAGTTTTAATTTCATTTTTTTTTTTTTTTACTTTAGAGTTAAAGTGCAATCTGACAAGTCAAAAAAGATGCTTGTAAGTGAGATGGCAGACCACGCCATTGTAAACACTTTTAGAAACTTGTAAAAACTTTTAGCATGTTAATGAATACCGGCTTTTCCACAATATATATGGGCACCATGTCTTTTGCAATATACATCGTGACAGCTTTTGTTATCGCCTTCCAACGTGCCCCATTCTTATATGACACACAGTTCGAAAACGTGTCAGGGACGGTTGCTTGCTTAACTTCGGATGTTGTGCTGGAGCTGCGGCTAATTTCATTTCGCTGGGAGCTGCACTTCTCCCACTCCACTGTGTGCCTCTGCTTTAGGTGCTGGAATAAATTTGTCGTGCTGCTTCCTTTGGTTAAAACAGTTTTAAAACAGACTTTGCAACAAGGACTTGTTTTGTCTGTGTCCGACAGCGCAAAACCGAACCATTGCCATATTGTTTGTGAATCCGTTAGTGTGTTTGGGTGCGCCGTGCTAATTTACCTGTGAAGAACGGTGCATCGCATTAGTTCCGCTTTTGGCGCTCGCGTGTAAAATAAGTAATAAAATCAATTTTCATAAAAACACATCGTCCTGAACTGTAAATTCGAATTAATCGATAAAATCGATTTATCATCCACCTCTAATAAGATGTATACAGTTATAAAATATAATGCTTTGTGACTGATGTTTTATGCCAGAGTTAGTGTTATATATATTTATTTATATATTTTAATTTATTTATTTGGGTGGAGTGTCCCTTTAAACTTATTTAAACAGAACTTCCCAAACAATCGGTGTCGGTTTTCAAAATAACCAGTTATCGGTATTGGCTAGAAAGTTCTTTATCAGTGCATCATTAATAATCAGACACATTGAACACTTTTGTATAATAAAAGATATACTTATATGTAAATCAGTTAAAGTTTAGACAATATTAAAGTAAGAGCTGTGGCTCCATCAGGAATCCCTTGCTGAACCACTAACCACTGATGAAAGCCGATCTTTTAAATAGGAGAGACAATTGTTGCATAAATGTAAAACATTGTGGTGTTATACAACCACGAAAGCGAAAGGAAGTTTCTCCCATTGTATTTATTGTACTTAGCAATGTATTACATATTTCAACTCTTGATCTAATATGGAAATTGATCAAGATTTCCCAAAATTAGTGGTTAACAGAATCAAAATGGTTTCAGCAGGTCTCCTACCCTCAATGGGAGATGTCTTCAGCCTATGACACAGGCCCTGCACATCTCCGTGGTTATTCTGGATCTTGGTGACAGCCTCGGCGCTCCTCAACTCCATCAGCTCCCGGAGCTCCTTCACTGTGCAGCCAAATTCCCCATTGTGGTTTCCCTCTACAACTGAGTTCCCAGGCAGGTGGTCAGCAGTGTTGTTGGCCATCTTGCACTGATTGTGTATCAGGGTAATTGCTTGAATTCAGTGCTGTATATTATTCAGATTAGATGGTCACAATCGCAACAATAAAAGTAATGAAACTAGATAAGAGGTCCTCGTCTGGTGTAGAGCACTTGTTAAAGCCCTATTATGCCCTCTCCTTGACCTCCACTTTTACCTAAGGGCATAAACTCTTCTTAGAGTGTTAGTTTAAAGAGGACTCGCCTAAACCTTTTTTTTCCAACTCTTGGTGCTGGAAACGGGAGCAAACTTTAGCTGTGATGGATATTCCTGAATAAAGCCTAACCATAAAGTGCATGTTACAATAGTGGTAGCAATTTCTAACAAAAAACAGGAAACATCTTCTTCAGACTTCTCAGTTTAAATATCTGTAAAAAAAACATGAAAGGATTTTTAGAAACAGTTTTCTGTAGGGAAGTTACATTTCTTATTTTGCATTTAATCTCATAGCACACACACACACACACAAACTCACAAGTATGTATTTATATCTCTGTGAAGAACGTCCATTAATTTCTGTGGGCAAAACTCTAATTCCAGCAATGACAAGTTTATGATTGCAGTAACAGATTTTGGAGTTTCCCCTTGTGGGGACCAAAAAGGTCATGCCTACAATGTTAAAATAACAGATTTGTATCACATTGTAGGGACATTTGTTCCCCAAAATGTAATATTCTCTATATGGACAAAAGTATTGGGACACATCTCTCAATCATTGAATTCAGGTGTTTCATTTAAAACCATAACCACTAGTGTATAAAATCAAGCACCTAGCCATGCAGTCAGGTTTACAAACATTTGTGAAAGAATGGTTTGTCCTAAAGAACTCAGTGAATTCAAGCATGATACAGTCATAGGATGCCACCTATGCAATAAGTCAGTTTGTGAAATCTCTTCTTCTCAATATTCCATGGTGAACTGTAAGTGGCATTATTGGTATTATAAGTCGAAGGGTGTAGAAATAAAAGCGGGGTAGCTGAGTGCTGAGATGCATAGTGTATAAAAGTCAGCAATATTCTGTTGACTCCAACTGCAGAGTTCCAAACTTCCTCTGGAATTCTGGAATTAACCCCAGCACAACTAATGTGCGTGGGGAACTTCATGGAATGGGCACCCATAGCTGAGCAAGTGTCCCAATACCTGTGTTCATAGAGAGAGACAGACAGTGAGACAGAGAGACAGACAGAGAGACAGAGACAGACAGAGGTGATGCACACAGCTCTAGGCTGAACTGAAAGCTGAATTATACATCAGTGTTATCTTGGTTTGTGTGTATCCTTAGTCTACTTCCCTGACAAAGGTGGTAATTGTCAGTCAGTCACTGTTAAATATCGACATTGAGCTACTTCTACTATATAGTCGACAATCAGTACTATTGTCATATCACCCAGCCCTACCGGCTACTTCCAAGCACTGGATTTTCTAAACAATCTGAGGGAAGAGGGCACATGCCAGGTTCTAGACTGAAATCTTGACAGCAGACTCTGCTGTCTGAGGGGTTTATATATTTCCTTGACAGCATCAAACATTCAGAAAACAGTCAGAAAACACAACACCCTACATAGGTTTAAAGCATTTTAAAATATAAACAGTACATACCAATCAAATAGTTAAAAATGGGTAAAATTACTATAAAAGGAAAATAACACTTTATAAGAAAGCTCACTCATTGCATTCTTCACAATTATAGTCATCTGATCACACCTATTAACTAACTGAAATAAACAGAAATATCCTTGTTAGACTTGCTTTGGGTGGGGTGGCAGACAAAGGTTCTACTATGCTTTCACAATTTTGCTATAAGAATCATAAATAACTATATAAAAGCTGATGTCTGCAGAATTTTAAATTCTTTGTGTCTATGTTTAGATCAGAAACTGCTGCAGCACCTGGAGAGCTCAAAACATTAAGGCTACAGGCTCTTTCCTTAAAATGAAACGACTAAATGCATTCAGGTGAAAGCTGTTAGGCCTAAGACCATTTCAGTTAGTACATGCAGGCATCGCGTGACAGGCACTTGCTGGTTTTGTTCTGTCATTACAGTATTAGTGCCAAATATTCAACTTGTACCTGGGCATTCATTAAAAGCTCAGCCTAGCTGTACCTACGCCTAGTCGACGCCTTAACAACACGTACTTCTGTAATGTGCCATTTGCTTCACTTGTACATTGCTTTGGACAAAAGAATCTAAATAAAAATAAATGTAAATGTAGTGCAGTGTCACGATTCTTGCAATAAGTCTGAAACACTTGCGATGGAAACAGTTGTAACTGGTAACTATACCATCATATCATCGCACTACAGAGAAACATATTTTACAATTTTAGCTGAGCCTTGTAGCTATAATATTAAAGTCACAGCTCGTGAAGAACCAACATTACATTTTTTTTGGTACCCATGGTATAAAAAAGGGGCAACATATACAGTGGGGAAAATAAGTATTTGATACACTGACAATTTATCAAGTTTTCCCACTTACAAAGAATGGAGAGATCTGTAATTTTCATCGTTGGTACAGCTCAACTGTGAGAGACAGAATCAAAAAAAAAAAAAAATCCAGAAAAATCACATTGAATGATTTTTAAATTAATTTGCATTTTATTGCATGAAATAAGTATTTGATACAATAGAAAAATAGAACTTAATATTTGGTACAGAAGCCTTTGTTTACAATTACAGAGATCAGACGTTTCCTGTAGTTCTTGACCAGGTTTGCACACACTGCAGTAGGGATTTTGGCCCACTCCTCCATATAGATCTTCTCCAGGTCTTTCTGGTTTCGGGGCATGGAGTTTCAGCTCCTTCCATAGATTTTCTATTTGGTTCAGGTCTGGAGACTGGACCTTGAATAAAGGCCACTTTATTCCTCAACTAAGCCACTCCTTAGTTGCCCTGGCTGTGTGTTTCGGGTCATTGTCATGCTGGAAGACCCAGCCATGACCTATCTTCAATGCTCTTACTAAGGGAAGGAGGTTGTTGCCCAAAATCTCGCGATACACGGCCCCATCCATCCTCAATACGGTACAGTTGTCCTGTCCCCTTTGCAGAAAAGCACCCCCAAAGCATGATGTTTCCACCCCCATGTTTCACGGTTGGGATGGTGTTCTTGGGATTGTATTCATCCTTCTTCTTCCTCCAAACACGGCGAGTGGAGTTTATACCTAAAAGTTCTATTTTGGTCTCATCTGACCACATGACCTTCTCCCATGCCTCCTCTGCATCATCCAGATCAGGGTTTCTCAACCCGGTCCTCGGGGACCACCAGACGGTCCATGTTTTTGCTCTCTCCCAATTCCCTGCCAATTGGGAGAGAGCAAAAATGTGGACCGTCTGGTGGTCCCCGAGGACTGGGTTGAGAAACCTTGATCCAGATGGTCTTTGGCAAACTTCAGACGGGCCTGGACATGTGCTGGCTTGAGCAGGGGAACCTTGCGCGTGCTGCAGGATTTTAATCCATGACAGCGTAGTGTGTTACTAATGGTAACCTTTGAGACTGTGGTCCTAGCTCTCTTCAGGTCATTGACCAGGTCCTCCGTGTAGTTCTGGGCTGATCCTTCACCTTTCTCATGATCACTGATAATCCACGAGGCGAGATCTTGCATGGAGCCCCAGTCTGAGGGAGATTGACAGTCATCTTGAGTTTCTTCCATTTTCCAATAATTGCACCAACAGTTGTTGCTTTCTCACCAAGCTGTTTGCCTGTTGTCCTATACCCCATGCCAGCCTTGTGCAGGTCTACAGTTCTATCCCTGGTGTCCTTAGACAGCTCTTTGGTTTTGCCCATAGTGGAGAGATTGGAGTCTGATTGATTGAGTGTGTGGACAGGTGTCTTTTATACAGGTAGAGAGTTCAAACAGGTGCAATTAATACAGGAAATGAGTGGAGGATAGGAGGGCTTCTTAAAGACGAACTAACAAGTCTGTGAGAGTAGGCTTGGGCAGTATCCAAATTTTGATACCAGTCAAACCTCCTCCCTATTTGACCTTGGTATACGGTATTACCGTGAATAATTAAAAAATTGTGACGTGAGGCTCAGACAGCATCACCAAACTGTTGGCTTGTGCCTAAACCGTTCAGAAACTGAATAGCAAACACTAATACTGAAACAATAACAAAATAACATGCAGAACAATATTAACAACTTTTATTAGCAACAAATAGTTTATAAAAAAATGCAAATACAACATTAAATTAACATAAACATCCAGAACAGTTTTCGCACAGAGACGCGCACACAAGTCAAATTAAATCACACCGCCTGAACAACTTTTAATAACAAAGAGCAGCTTATAAAAAAGTGCAAATAGACCCACAACAGTCAACCAGAGTTGAATTAACATAAACATATCCATATTATAAAAAGTATTGCAAAGCAATAGTCCTAAACAAAAACTCCTTTCCAGTCTTATTTTCAATATTGTTTTTAACGTAAACCAAATAAAAATACCTGAATGAATTAAATAAATCCGTATTTACTGCCTCTCCCTTCTCGTTCGGTCGAAACCCGAAATACTGCCAAACTGCAGAAGTTGTGTTCTTTTTCGAGACCAAGTCACTTGGTGCGCGACTTGCCATCTTTCCCCACCTATTTCTCCTCCACGTGATGACAACCACGCATACGCATTTTTAGGCATTAAATAAATTGTATTTAATATTTAATCCTTGTCTCCTATACAAGTGCACTGTTTTTATGACGGTATAACGGTATTGATACCGTTGCTATTTTTAGACCCCGCGGTATACCGTATTACCGTATTACCGCCCAAGCCTATGTGACAGCCAGAATTCTTGCTGGTTGGTAGGTGATCAAATACTTATTTCATGCAATAAAACGCAAATTAATTATTTAAAAATCATACAAATGTGATTTTCTGAATTTTTTTTTAGATTCTGTCTCTCACAGTTGAGGTGTACCAACGCTGAAAATTACAGTTCTCTCCATTCCTTATAAGTGGGAAAACCTGATAAATTGGCAGTGTATCAAATACTTATTTCCCTACTGTAATTGCTTTTTTTACAAAATTATTTAATAAATAAAACACACTGACGTCAGGAATGTGTGTAGTTTGTATGACGATTTAATCAAAATCATATGGTGGACCAAAGATCATTTGTTGCAGTAAACATATAGGAATGACTTATATGTTAAAAGTCAGTGTACTGTTTACCGCCACTGCTTTTGCATAAGCTCTGCATGTGCTCTCTGAGCCAATAATAATCACTTTTGTCTTTGTTGTTGGATTCATTCAAGTCTGTGTTTGTGAGAAATTTAACAATAATGAGTAAGGTGGAGAAAAGTCAACAAGAACTAGTCATCAAAAGACATTTGCCTTACTATGTATGGAAGTATTCTGGATTCCACAGAGAC